TACAAATGTAGGCTGTGCTTACATAATCTCATGTTTGCGACAAGATGGACTTGGAGGGATGATTTCAACCTTCTCAATGTTCTTCACTAAAACCATGTTTGCAGCTTTGTCTGCACAGAAGCACCTGCCCTTTGAAGACCTGTCCTGTCCTGGAAGAGAAATGTCATATATTTCATTAGAGTCTATTAACTGCAAAACATTACCATAAGCAAATGTACATTCTGAAGATATGCTGAATGCTCTTGATCTGCGATTCTCAGAGCTCAAACTCACCTTTCACCCCTACAGCGATCAGGCAGGCGAGAAGAACAAAAGCTGCAATAGTCTTCATTGTCTTCTTGCTCTCGTTGAACTGTGCTTGTGTTATGTCTGGGTCAGTGAGATTATGACTGAAGGACTTCAGGAGTTCATTTAAATACTGTAGGATCAGGGTTTCCCCTCAGTTTTAGTTCTCTTTTTAGGTTTCAGTACTCCAGCTTCCTCCCTTTTTTCTCTTTTTATTGCGATTTCTCCGAAGCACTTTCCTTAACCCTCATGGAGAGAAGCCTTGACTTAGGGCACCCTGTTTGTAACTTTCCATGAATGAGGAAGGATATATTGCTTAATTAGACTGGAATATAGTGTGAATTGTGTTTTGGTGGGAGTACTACTAGATGTTAGGCTAAAACACTGAAAAACAGGCATTTCAGATATTTTAAAAATGTTTTAATTGATTGAATTTCATGGCTTTTATTGTCTGTTTTTAAACACATGACAATCTGTTGTGTATAAATTAAGGTAACAATACACAAATATAGAAAATGCACACTGAACCTATTTATTAATACAATCTTTTGCAATAATTGTAATGATAATGACCCACTGTTTCAAAGAAATCTGTGCAGATAAATACAGTACACGGTGACAGGCACCCAAGTAACAACCAACAATTTCTGTGCATTCAATCTGACTGATTCCTGCTCCTGTTTATAGCTACACTGTGAAGTTGAAGTTTGTTTAATTTTTGACTGTTTACCAATTGGATGTAATTGTGGTCCTACCCTTTACTGAAATCAGCTTTCTCAATAGTCAAGTTTTATATCATTCTTAATCACCCACTCCCCTTAACCACCAACACCCCTATCTGCTAGGATAATATCCATTTTTCTATAGATTTTTTTCTTGCAGTGTTTTCCCAAAGAGGTCTGCCATCCAAGTCCTAACCAGACTCAACCCTGCTTAGCGTCAGAGTATTAGCTGCTGGTCATCATTAAAGATCATTTTCAATGTAGTAACCCAAAGATTATAGTTTTAACACCACAGTTCAGCCGAGTCAATAACAACCAATGAAAAAATAAAAAAAGCTTCTTAGCTTATACTCTAAAAACATAATGAGTGGATCTACTACCACAACTTAAATAAATGCATGATTGCAAAAAATCTAATTTATTAAATGTATTTATCAACCTATATGTAAAGTTCTGTTGTCATAATATATATATATATATTTTTTACATCTGTTTAATACTGTGTGTAATTTAAACTCAAATATCTGCGTCAACTGATATGTGTGTGTGTGTGTGTGTGTGTGTGTGTGTGCGTGTGTGTTTAAATACTGTTTCTGTTATGTTATAGTTTTTGTGATTACCATTTTTGCCAGTGAATGTTTTACTTCATTGAATGTACTTGCTAATTAAGTTACATTAAGCATGTGATATGCTAGCCAAAAGTTTTTTTTAGCAAGTTGATCAAATTTATAAATATTTACCTTTACCTATTTAACACAAGATCTGTTACAGTCATTTTTGGTCTGTGAAATAAAAAAAATAAAAAAAAAGATCCATTTCCATGATCACAAAATGTGGCTGGGATCTTTTGGTTTTGCTGGTGTGCTTGTGGATGTTTCATTTATTTATTATGAAGGCATTAAGAAACCACAAACAAGGATGTGGGACAAAACGTGTATTTTCTGTGGAAGATGGTCAGTTGTTTTCACTACCTCTTTATTTTCAAGTCAGTCTAAACAATATTTGTTACATTTGAGGGTAAAAAGCTGATGACATATATCGGTTTGTCCATAAATTATTGTATAGTTTTCTCTAAGCACTCCTGGATCGTATTTTTCAAATGAGACTTTTTTGGTGAGCCAGGTAAGTTTGAGGATAAACTGGCATAAACGAAACCTTTAGGAAAAGTTTCTAGTCAAAATGGGTTTTGTCATATATTTGTATGGTATGTACAACACTTAACGTAAAGCAAGTAACGTTTGTTTGCAGATTATTAAATATTTCAGTGATGAAAATTTTCTAATGATGAAATTCAGTGATTAATCAGAGTTCCAATGTTGAAATTCATACCAAATAGTTTAATGCATAAACAAACTGCAAATCAGCTCATTAGACAAAACTTCTCATTTCACTGGAATGTTATCAAGTGTTTTCACTACCCTTTTCTTTATATAGGATCTTAACCAGACATTGTGTTGAAGTCTAAGCTAATGACTTAGCACAATCATGCTGATGAAATGCAAAACTGAAACTGAAAAAAATGGAAACTGGAAAACTTTTTGTGAAATCTGGAAATGTCACTTCAACTGCTACATATATATATATTTTTTAAATAGAGTGATTATGCATGCACAATGCATGCTGGTATTATCAGTTAACACCAGTAAAGCATGGAGTGTCGCAAGGATCTGTCTTAGGCCCTCTGCTATTTTCAATATACATGTTGCCCCTTGGTAATATTATTAGAAAATATGAGATTAGTTTCCATTGTTATGTTGATGATACCCAACTATATATTTCAACAAGACCAGATGAAACTTCTAAATTAACTAAGCCAATAGAGTGTTAAAAATGTAAAAGATTGGATGACCAATAATTTTCTCCTATTAAATTAGGATAAGACAAAGAATCTCATAACACAGAATCTATTAGATTAAAATTTCCATCTAGACGGATATACTGTTACTTCCTCTACAGTCAAAAATTTGGATGTAATATTAGACAGCAACTTTTGTTTTGAAATTCATATTTCACGTTACAAAAACAGCATTCTTCCATCTTAGAAACATTGCCAAGCTATGGAACAGGTTACCTGTTTCTGATGCAGAAAAGCTAGTTCATGCATTCATGACCTCAAGACTGGACTATTGTAATGCACTGCTATGTAGTTGTCCTGCATATTCAATAAACAAGCTACAGGTGGTCCAAAATGCAGCGGCTAGAGTCCTTACCAGGTCAAGAAAACATGATCATGCTAGAGTCCTTACCAGGTCAAGAAAATATGATCATATTACCCCAATTTTACAATCTCTACACTGGCTACCAATTAAGTTCTGTATCAGGTACAAAATATTACTACTTACTTATACGCTGTGCTAATTTTTCTCTATTTGCTTCTCTGTTTCTGCCACGGGATGGGCATCCGAGGTAACTTGGAATTACACAAGCTTCAGTCTGGATTCAACCCTTACAAAGATCTGAGATGACTAAACACCTGAGAAGAGATGATGCCAACCCCTCAGAGGACCTCAGATGATGCCAACCCTGAAACAACATACAGAACTACCAAATGTTGCTATAAATTTGATTGCAATAATCATTGCTGTTAATAGTGTTCATCTTTTGTTTGAATACGTCATTAACTAACTGCATGATATTTACTGTACATTTCTGACATATGGACATAAACTTGACATAGTCACCTCTGATAAGCTACTCCCAATTAAATATAATGTAGAAACTTACATTTTCTGTGAAGCTGCTTGGCAAAGATTTGTATTGGGGAAAATACTATACAAATAAATGTGAATTGAACTGAATAAAATTCAAAGTTACTTTTTTTTATACTCATTTGTCTATTCTCTATTTTTATCTATTCTAGTCTACTTTAGAATAGTCTATTGTCTTTATTATTAGTGTTATATTTCATTTTATTAACTTAATTTATGTACGTCTGCGCTATGTCTGTACTTTTTTCTGCACTGGAAGTTCCTGTAATCAAGATCAATGTATTGTGTGCATAAACACACTTGGCAATAAAGCTCTTTCTTATTCTGATTCTTACATTTTAGAATTCATTAAGTTATTATTTTATTTTCATTCATTTATTTCATTATTTCATATTATTTCATTACACTCATTTATTTCATTTGAGCAGAATCATGCAGTCTGAACTCAGTTTACATGCAATTATCACTTCAGTATATTAAAAAATATTGGCCTGTTTATGATTCATATGTAATTCAGACATATCACTCTGACTGGGATAATGTTATTCGATTTGTATGTCAATAATTTTAACTAAATTGTCAAAATGCATTTACACTTGTGATGAATGAATGAATGAATGAATGAATTAATTAATATTTTGTGCATGATGTACAAAAATCTGACAGTTGAGGAGGCTACTTGTCCCAAATACAAGGTCATCTTATTCAAGTGAACCAAGATAGCCTCCTTTGATTTTCATATACTCATATTTTCATATATATCATGATTTTTTGATTTTGTGCTTTAGACAGTTTTAGACAATGTTTCCATTCCTTGAAGATGCATCCTTGTCCTTTATGCTAAAACAGTTTTTGCGCGAAGAATTAACAGAGACCAAAGAGCTAGAATTTATGGAAGACAAAAACTTTTATTTGATAACACAGTGGACACAGATGGACAATGAAATAATAAACATCATAAGTGGACTGTATAACAGCAATAACAGTGTTTATTTGTTTTATGAACATAAAACAAAAATTATACACAAAATGATATATACAGTAGTCAACATTTGAAGTGGATCAAAAAAGTTAATCAAAGTTGTCCTAAGACAAGACAAGAACGCATTTTGGTTTTAGGTTTTAGGACAACTTTGATGAAAGGCTTTGATCCACTTCAAATGTTTACTACTGTATATATATATATATTTACTTTTTATAATTTTATAATTTGAAATTTATAATTACTACACAGTCAGTTGTATAAATTATCAAGCAGAAAATATTTACAGTTTATGCATATGTGTTCTAGGCAAACTCATGCAATGTATGCAAACTGTCAGCTAGAGGTCATACAGCATCTGAGGATGTTCTTCACTGGCATTATAACACAGCAGCTAATCCAGTCTCGCACTAAGCATCTACTGCCGGGCCCTGTAAAGATCAGAAATAGTTAATTATATATTAGTTTAAATATTCTATATTATTTGTATATAATTTATTCATTTCAGAAATTGCCAATAGGTCAAACAAAAAATGTTACGTTCACATCTTTTCAAGAGCCCTCTTGATTAAATTCTGTGTGAATTTAGATTCCGGATTCAAGCATTTCCGCTCTGTGCTCTTCAGATTGACACTGGAAATAAAAAAGGAAAGATGAGCTGAAGGTGTTCAAGAGGGTTGAGACAGCAGCATGATCATTAATAGTAAATATCTGTACAAAACCATTGTTTTTGTCCTTACATAATCTCCTGTTTCCCACAAGATGGACTTGGAGGAATGATTTCAACCTTCTCAATGTTCTTCAGTAAAATCACATTCACTCCTTTGTCAGCACAGAAGCACCTGCCTTTGGAAAACTTTATTAGCAAAAAGATGGTACTTTATAGGCTGCAGAACAGCATGATAAAAAACTAATATTTTTAAGAGATACAGTTATATTACAAATATTCAATTATAGGTCTTAATAGGCATCACTCACCTTGTACTTCCGTTGCAAGCAGACAGGAAAGAAATACAAAAACTGCTGTAGTCTTCATTGTTTTTAAAGTTTTGACGATTGTCTAAGACTGTTATTGCCAGTTCAGCTACAGTACGTATAGCTGTCAGAAGATCAGGGATTTACAGAGCGGACTCAGTTCCCAGTTTCAATTTCACAAGCACGGCAGTTTTGATTTCCCATTTCTTTGAAATGCCCTGACTTTGTCTCGTGTCGTTTAGTGCAAAGATTATTCTGGCCAATGAGGAAGAATTATAATTTGTTTTACAGCAATTTTGGAAGTTGGTGTAAATTCTTTCAAACACTCTTTGAAGCCCAAGGTAAATGAAGGGATCAAATGTAAAATCTCTGCACAAGCGCTAAAGCATCCATTATACTGGCAATCATCCTTAATTATAATACTCTTTGGTCAGACAACAGCAAACAGTGTTCAACTCCATGTGCATAAATTATTCAAATGTTTAAACTGCCATTATAAACACAATATTTTGGATTATGAAATGACCAATGTTGTGATGATGAAAATCAGTGACATCACGTCAAACGTGAACCCAACTTCTGTTTTCAGAGAAATCAGTCATCAGTTTTCACTACCTCTGCATATGGAATAGAGTCTTAATAAGAAGCTCACACTTATGAAGGGTTTTGCAAACTCATGTCATGAGCAAAATGTTTACTTTGATCTTTTCTGTTGCATTTCTAATGCAGAAGCAGAAGACCATCATACAAATAACAATGTTTTGTGAACATGTAGGTTAAGTGTATGTGTACGTCTAGCACACTATAGTGCTGATTGTTAAACTTTATGTTTATATTACCTCATCAACATGCTGTTTAGTATGATTAATACATATGAACCCAATCTGGTTCTTATACACATAAGCTACAGTCTTGATTCTTTGTGTTTATGTATTTTGCCACCAATTTACCAAAACACAAAATAGTTAAATTTTCTCATGAGATTGGGGGGCAGTTGCATAAACATAGTCATTATGCTAAGACTGTGTTTTAAAATCTGCACGACATGAATATTGCGATTATCTTTTCTTCCCTACACTGTGAAAAAGAAACTGTACTGGCAGCTCATTTATTTATATATATATATAGTATGTGTGCCATATAAACCTGATGAAATGAACCCAAACAAAATGATGAAAACACTGCACAGTATTTCCCAGAAACTGAGTAAGATATAGAATGAGTAACTGGAACTCAGCCAGATCTTATCCCCCACTAGAGCAGCAAACAGGGAAATCCCAGAATGTCTCTGATGTAGCATATAAAACGAAGCCAGTCAGCTCATTTATTCACATTTGGTCAGTCAAGTGGCTTAAAGTGAAGACCTTCAAGAGATTGAAACAATGAAGACTGTGGCAGCTCTACTTGTTTTTGTCAGTTTGGCCATTGTTGCTATTGAAGGTAAAATTGTTTTTGCTTTTTTAAAAACATTTCACTAACTCAGCACAATCTGTTGCTTCGTTGTTTCAGAATAATCATTTCCGTCATTTATTTCTATCAGGGAAGCCCGGGATTGGAATCCAAAGATGTTTATGTCATGGTGCTGGTCTCAAAATGGTGAGGCCAAAGCTGATAGAGAAAGTTGAAATTCACCCTATTAGTCCATCCTGTGGACATCTGGAGGTTGTGTAAGTACATTATTATTTCTAATTGAATTTAAGACATTATCAATCTATGTTCTCTTTAAATAACCTGATGATGTGTCTGAACAGTGTCACACTGAAAAATGGTGAAGGTCGAAGATGCTTAAACACAGAGTCATTGTTTACCAAGAACATCATTGAGAGGATTGCAAAAAAGACCAGGTGAGTCATATCAATCACATAACAACTGATATTAAAGACCTGAGCTTCATATCTTTCATTAAAAAATTCTTTAAAAATTAAGAAATACAATGGAGTAATGTTTATTTATGTTTCTTCTTTTTCAGGAGTGCTCAGTAAAATGTGTGACGGTTGTGGCCACTGTGGACTCATGTCATTAAAAAGCTGTATTGATTCTTTCATTTATTACAATAGAGTATTTTATATATTATATTTACACATTATGTTATGAGTAGTTTAATTTATTTAAAAACAATGTGTTGGATGTTCTTCTGTTTGTTGTTAAATGTCAGATGAAAGTTTCAAATAAAATCTTGTGAAGGTTTGATAATTTTTGTGTTTATGGTCTTGGTCATTGGTTCCTGAAGAAATATTAGTTATGTTACATGTCTCTGTGTGTGTGCAAAAAGTAAATAGGAGATGCAAAGTAAAGATGCAAATAAAGATGCAAAGTTATTGCCTGGTCAGATGCAACCAATTAATTTTTTCCCCCATACCATTTAACACTTAAAAACATGTTATTTCCACCTAATATACACATATATATATATATAAAAAAAGTAATATTAAAAATATACAATAAAAAGGCGTATTTACAACAAGACACAATACGAAATAACAAGGGAAACTGAGTAATGGAAAATATCTCAACACCACAAATCAAGGGTGAACACGGAAATATCACATTTCTGACAATATATATGAAAATGGTACAAGAAATGCCATAGTTAGAATAGAATAGAATAGAATAGCTTTTTATTGTCATTGTACAGCTGTACAGCGAAATTTTTTTGCTCTCACACTGAAGTGCACACATACATACAAGAATTTACATAGAAGTACATTTAACAAAATGCAAACAATGATACAGAAAATATAAACAGTGCAATGTAAACAGGTGTGCAGTAGACAGTGCAAATGTAAACAGTTATATATACTAAATGTGCAAAATAGTTATAGTGCAAATGTATTAGATATGTACAATGAGTGAAATATTAATAAATCGAGAGAATTAAGGAATAAATATATAAATATGAGAACAGGGTATTGCACAGGTACACCAGTAGCTGTATGAGTAGTAAGTGTATAGTCCTTAGTATTCCACAACCTTTGAAGCTTGTGATTAAGTGATATGTCTTTTATTAGTCAAGTTTAAGTCAAGTCAAGTTTATATGTACAGCGCTTTTCACGATACAAATCATTGCAAAGCAACTTTACAGCAAATTAAGTTT